TACTATGTGGCCATTTAGCTCTTTTTTCTTTTCCTTTGTCTTTGCCTTTGTCTTTTTTTTTTTTTTTTTTTTTGAGAGAGGTTTTTACTATAGGGCATGTGCGCTCGCCAGACAGACAGAGAAAGACATAGAGACAGAAAGCAAGAAATTAATCCCAGGGGGGATGGCCACGCCACAATCCCCTCTCCTCCATTCTCCTCTCAGGATCTTGGGCACGCATGTACACGTGCCCGGCGTGAGTTTTAAGCCACCGGGTTCAGGACACAAACTGCGGTCGACTACGTGGGAGTCCAGTGACATAGCCATTACGCTAGCTGCTGGTCCCTCTTTCCTTATTTTTTACATTTGAAATTCTTTTCATGTAACCTATTACAAAAAGATTAAACAAAAAGAAGCAAATGATTATCTCCACAAATGCTGAAAAGGCATTTAAAGAAATTATAATAGCTGTTCCTGGTACAAATTAAAACTCTGGAATCATAAAATAATATGTCTCAAAATTATCACTCCATCTGCCAAACTAGCCATTAGTGCTGGAACAGCCCCATTTTCCACTTTTTCTGGTCCTGTTCCAGGTTCCAGAATACTGAAGAGGAAAGACCCAGTACCATACAGATAGCTCTCACTGAAAGTCCAAGCTTCACTGCTGGTGACTGTCATGCAACTCAGAATGGCATAAATGCAGAGCTGGACCTCAGAGACCACTCAGGATAGCCCGCTTGGCTTATGAATGGAGAAGCTTGGGAAGAATGAGTCAATTCTTTTTTTTGGAGAGATTTTTTTTTTTTTTTGCTATAGGGCGCGTGCGCTCGCCAGACAGACAGAGACATAGAGACAGAAAGCGAGAAATCACCCCCCAGGGGGGATGGTCACGCCGCAATCCCTTCTCCTCCATTCTCCTCTCGGGATCTTGGGCACGCACACACACGCGCCTGGCGTGAGTTTTAAGCCACCGGGTCCAGGACGCGAACCGCGGTCGACTACGTGGGAGTCCAGCGACATAGCCATTACGCTAACTGCTGGTTCCCAGAATGAGTCAATTCTTACCAAAGATCTCGTAGTAAGCTTATGGAAGAACTGAGACAATGACTAGGTTTCCAGACTCCTAGCCCAGAGTTCTGGCAGATCTCTGTGAGGGATGTTGAACACCTCAGACTTCTCTTTTCCTTCTTAAGCCCTTCCATCCATTTCTAGATTTTCATAGAACATCTTCTGTGTGATGACACTTTATAAGGTATAGTTCCTACCCACAATGAGCCTTCCATGTAAGTTACATGCATACATATGTATTTGCATGTCTATTTGTTATATACATGAAAACACACACACACACACACACACACACATATATAAAAGTTGGTCTAAAGTGATAGTTGTATGAGTAATAGCAAGTGTTGTAGGAATTCAGAGTAAGGAAATGATACTTCTATGTGTGATAAACCCAGGAAGCATGATACTGGTTTTTGGATGCTAGGGATTATTTTTATAAGAAGAAGTGGGAAGGATGCTAAAATATGCAGGGAATAGCAGCTAAACCCATTTGATTGGAGTATATCCTTTTTGTCACACAGAGAAGTAGAAATGCCAAGAAAAGTAGCTTGAGATAAAATCACAATGAGTTTTGAAAGCCAAAATAAGGACTTCGAATTGCATAGATGATACAGTAAATTGAGTCAGGTGACTTCAGGGAGTCAGTCAAAAGTGACTTGAAGGTGTTAGGAAGGGGACCTAGTTTGAGGTAGGCAAGGAAATAATTTTGGATGTGATCTTTTTTCTGTCTTTTTTTTTTAGAGAGACATTTTTGTCGTAGGGCACGTGTGCTCTCCAGAGAGACAGAAAGCAAGAAATCACCCCCTGGGGTGGTGGCCATGCCACAATCCCTTCTCCTCCATTCTTTTGGGATTTGGGGGCATGCACACACCCATGCCCAGCATGAGTTTAAGCCGCCAGGTCTAGGACTGACCACGGTCAGCTATGTGGAAGTCCGGAGATTAACCATTACACCATCTGCTGGTCCCAGTTTTGGATATGATCTGAAAGTGCAGTGTAGTCTATAGGAACTTTCTTGCAGAATTAAATAGGCAAGGCAAGGAGTTAGGATTAAAGATCTAGGGACTATCTACATTAATATGATTGTCAACAAAGAAAATATAAGCAGACAAGAGAATAGAACTGTAAGAAGCAACTACATGTGGGGTTACTGTTTGCTCACCCTCCTAGTCTCTGTCTTAATCACCTGGAGTCTGATTACTTTTACTCCCCAGCACTGAGTTTACTCCTCCCAGAGCCCATACCCATCACTGCAGCAGTGCCAGTCCTGTTCCCACTCTTCTGCAATCTTTGTTGACTTTTAAGACATTACCATCTGCCTTCCTCCAGACCATGAATACTGGCCTCCTGTTTCCTTGCCAGAACTCCATCCATGCATGTGCCTGCTTCCAACCCTTCATGCGATCTGTTTCCCTGTGTAATCTTCCTGCCTTTTTCTCCTCTGCTTATCCCGTTCTTACCGTCCTTTGCAGTTCTTGGATTCTTTTATCCCACTCCGAACAGTAAGTGACTCTTAGCCCAGTCACTTGACCTCCCTGCGGATGAGACTATTAGTTCCTGTATGTTGCTGGTTTGCTTTTATCTTAGAATGCTGGATGATAAATACAGCTATCATTTTAAAAGTCATCTTCTTGAGGTAAGCAATAACGCATAGAAAATTATAATCTTAATCATAATGATGGTACCAATGTTTGCTCTCCTTTCAAAGAACAGAAACAAAATCTCTTCTACTTAGTAGATAAATTTAGTATCCTTTAACACAGGACAGTATCAACTTTTTAGATGATTGATTGTGTAATTAACAGTGGAAAGGTTTGTAGACTCCAAGAAATATTCAAATGTGGCTCTTGCTTGGTGAATAATGCATGTTTTTTGTGTTTTTTTTTTTCTCCCTATTAGCTATTCTGTCATCGGTTTTATTGACAAAAATAAAGACACTTTATTTCAAGATTTCAAGCGCCTCATGTATAACAGGTAAGGTTGAAATTTTATTAATCATTTTTACATTAAACTCTCTATGAAGGGAGTTATTTTTATGTGACAATTTTAAGAGTTCCTGGCAGATTTTCCAGTTCTGCTTTAACATACTTAGTGATGAACTAGTATGTGACTTGATGATTATGAAATCTATAAACTTAGGGCAAGGATGTGCTACTGATTGATTTCTTGGATTCCCCTTGGGTTTTCTCAGTTTCTCTATTCTCTGCTGCCAACATTCTGGCATCTCCTGCTGTGTATTCAGAAGCCCCACGCTAGGCCAGTGGTGGTGGAAGGGGTGTCAGGTAGCCTTTGCCCAACTGCAAGCTTCATACACTCAGACTCCCACTCTAGTGTCTTAGCCTCCAAATCAGAGATCACTCTAGTGTCAGAGTGATTGTCAGTGATCCCAACTGAACAGACAGAATCTTCTCAGAAACCAACGAAATGTGTACAGGCTGTGGCAAAATAAAACCAGGCACATGGTAGCAAATTTCAACCCACTGTGGATACTTTGGAAAGAGGGTCGTTGGGGCTGGCAGGTGGCTTGGTGGTTAGGAGTGCTGGATTCCCACATGGCCGACTATGGTTCGAGTCCCAGACCTGGCAGCTTGCTTTCTCTTTCTCTCTCTCTTTCACTCTATTCCTCTCTGGTCAAATTGAAATAAATAAATGAATGAATAAATAAAGTTAAATAAAATATTTTAAAAAAAGAAAAGAGGGTCCTTGGAGATCTTCTTATAGATGAGAACACTGTTTTCACTCATTTATTAAGTCTACTCAGCCAGTTGGCCAGCACATTATCAAAAATGTGTTGAGCATCTTTGAACAACACCTGTTCTATGCCTTAGGAAATATCTGTGAGAAAACTTTCCCTGCCCTTCATGGAGTTTGTCATCTAGTGGAAGTGGCAGTTAATAAACAAGGAGACAAATGGCTTTCGGGAAGTGACAAGTGCTATGCAGGAAAGTCAAGTAGGCTGGAGATTGAAGAGTACAGACGAGGAAGGGCAGGCGGGCATTATAGATAGGTGTGAGAAGAGGCTTCTTCTTGGAGGTGCCATTTGAGCAGAGACCTACACTGAGAAAGGGAGTCACACAGTGATCTGTAAGAAGAGCATTCCAGGCAGAGAGAACAACTATAGACCCACCGAGGCCCAACAGTGGGAGTGCGCTTGAGTGCGTGGACAGCAGGGAGAACAGCAAGAAATCCAGTGTGGCTGGCAGTGGGGGGGGGGGGGGGGGGGGGGGGG